TTCTTTCCGATTATAAAAACCATATTCTACATTGTTTAAATAAAGATGTGGAGACAATCTGGAAATTTTCGTCCCATGCCATGAAAGGACAGAAACATATGCACAGACACTTTTGGAATCATATTTGTTGCAGCTTATAATTCAGATAGCATAATTGCCATCTCTCCTGATGGAAAGGTTTACAAAAAAGTACTAGGAGGCGAAGACGGCCTGAAAAATCCAAAGACTGTATGCTTTAGTGCAATGACATCTTCATTAGTAGTTGTTTCTCAAATGGGATCTATATTTAAATATAAACTATCTTATTCCTAAAATGTATTGAGTAGAGACCTGGTTTTAGAAAAATGATATGGGGATATTCTATACATGAAGAGATGTGAGTATGCGTCAATACTACAGCAACCAAACCATAAAAGAGAATATGAGTAGGCTTCTTTTAAACTTGTTCTAAATATATCTCAAATTGCATGTAATTTGTTAGTCTTGATTGTGTGTATAGTCTATCCTGAAATAAAACTTTTCAAGACATGAGGATTGCGGTAGCCTTTTCTTCTCAAAGGTAGGAATGTACAACGCGGAAATATCAGATGGCCCTAGTGGTTGTTATTAGAACACCAATCAATCGTTTAGATAAAAAAAACATAGGATGGTCAACTTTTATACTGACCCTTTTTGCCGTGCTTGTGACGAAAATCGTGGAAAGCGAGACATTGAGTTTGTTTTTCCGACGGCGTCAACAATTGCTAAGTTTTCTGCTTAAATTAGCTTGATAGGAACTACTTGTGATAGATCATTGATATTTAATATAAAGTTGCATTACTATCAGTACATATCAGTTTGGCGACTATTTTGAGGCCCTGTTCATGGTCATGATCCAGTGACTGCGAATTAATTAGCAATTTTAAATGTTAAAAAAAATAAGTTTTCTGCTTAAGTTAGTTTGATAGGATCTACTTGTGATACATCAATGATATTTTGCATGAAATGGCATTATTATCAATACATATCAGTTTGATGACTATTCTGAGGCCCTGCCTCCTAGGACATGGCCAAGTGATATTGAATTAATTAGCAATTTTCAATGTTAAGTTTTATGCTTAAGGTAGTTTGATAGTAACTTCTTGTGATAGATCAATGATATTCTGTATGAAGATGCATAACTATCAGTTCATATCAGTTTTACGGCTATTCCTAGGCAATGCTTCACAGCTTTATTACATGATAAACATTCAACTTCACAACTTTATTATATCTATTCATATTCACAACTTTATTATATTTATACATAATCACAACTTTATTATATTTATTCATAATCACAACTTTATTATATACAGTTAACTTCACAACTTAACTCTATACATTCAACTTCACAAATTAAGTATAAACATTCAGATTCACATCTTTATTATATACATTCAGCGTGACAACTTTGATTAAACAATTCACTTCCCAACTTCATAAACATTCAGATTCACAACTTTATCATATTCGCTCAACTTCACAACTTTGATTAAACAATTCACTTCCCAACTTCATAAACATTCAGATTCACAACTTTATCATATTCGCTCAACTTCACAACTTTATCATATAGATTCAGATTAACAACTTTCTTATATACATTCAGATTGAATTTCAACTTTATTATATACATTCAGCTTGAATTTCACAACTTTATTATATACATTCAGATTGAATTTCACAACTTATTATATACATTCAGATTGAATTTCAACTTTATTATATACATTAAAATTGAATTTCACAACTTATTATATACATTCAAATTGAATTTCACGACTTTCTTATAAACATTCAGATTGAATTTCAACTTTATAATATACATACAGATTGAATTTCACAACTTATTATATACATTCAGATTGAATTTCACAACTTTCTTATATACATTCAGATTGAATTTCAACTTTCTTATATTCATTCAGATTGAATTTCACAACTTATTATATACATTCAGATTGAATTTTACAACTTTATTATATACATTCAGATTGAATTTCACAACTTGTTATATACATTCAGATTCAAAACTTTCTTATATACATTCAGATTGAATTTCACAACTTTATTATATACGTTCAGATTGAATTTCATAAATTTCACAACTTTATTATATACATTCAGATTCAAAACTTTCTTATATACATTCAGATTGAATTTTACAACTTTATTATAAACATTCAAATTCACAACGATGTGTTTCACACTAAAATACATTGCCTAGAAACATTTTTTTTACGACGCAGCATGGTTTCTCTAAGTTTTCAAATATTTTAAACACCTTTACGACAGACGTTCTTCTTCGGATAATCTAGGGTCAAAGTTAGTTTGTCTATACATTTTGGGCTAAAATTTCAGAGAAAGTGTATATCTCATGATTTGCCATTTTAATACTTTTTTAGTTGTATTAGAATGCGTTTTTTAGGCCTTTCCATTCCTGGAAACAAACATTTTGATAAAGGGCAGAAATAAGCTTAAGTCCACTAAGATTGATTGATTGATTGTTGTTAGCTTCTCGTCCATTGAAAAATATTTCATGTAGTCCACTTAGACAGTTCCACCTAATTCTAATACTCCTTCGTAGTTTGACCGATTATCATTGACAGAATAAAATAAAATCAGCATTGACTTTTTAAATCCTGAAAGTTCAGCTTCAGATTTCTTTATTTTTTTTTGCTTTATTTTTTGGTTGTTGATTTTAGTTAAACTTATTTAACCAAGTCAAAATACTGCTGTAAATTTTCTTTTAAATTGCTAAAGTTACGACTGAGTGTCGATGTGATGTTAAAGTCGAAAACAACTTACAACAATTCTAAGTTTATTTTGTATTCTAAAAGGCAAAGTTTCAAGATTTAGAAAAGTCACTTTTGAGATTAAGAACTTTTTTGAAACGCTCTAAATTTTGACCGTAATGACGTAAAATTGAAAATGGAAATGGGGAATGTGTCAAAGAGACAACAACCCGACCAAAGAGCAGAAAACAGCCGAAGGCCACCAATGGGTCTTCAACACAGCGAGAAAATCCCGCACCCGGTGGCGGGCTTCAGCTGGCCCCTAAATTAAAATGTGTACTAGTTCAATGAAAATGGACGTCACACAAAACTCCAAAACATATAAATGAACTAAAATTAAAAATCATACAAGACTAACAAAGGCTAGAGGCTCCTGAATTGGGACAAGCTCAAAAATGCGGCGGAGTTAAACATGTTTTGTGAAATCTCAACCCTCCCCTATACCTCTAGCCAATGTAGAATGAACAAACACACAGCAATACGCACAGTAAAACACAGTTTAAAAGAAGTCCGAGTCCGATGTCAGAATAGGTAACAAAAGAAACTAAGCAAAATGACAATGATACATAAATTAACAAAGGACTACTAGCAGTTACTGACATGCCAGCGAGTATGTCTTCATCATATGAAAATCAAGCACAATCCCTCCAGTTAGGGGTTTGGTATCATACCATCATAAAATATATAAGAAGAACATAACCCGTATCGTATTTATTTAAAAAAAAATTATTATTCTTCATTTCTGTTAACAAATGTTACCTATAAGATATATATAGATTATAATTTACAATTTCCCGGATGTGTAATATTGTCCTTGCGTACTTTGCTACTTTCATATCGTCCTATATAATGAACCAATTTTCATATTGTGTAAGTATTTATATATAACTCTTTAGTTTGAATATATTTTTTAAATCACAGAGAGCAAGAGTATTACCGATGTTATGAATTGCATTTCTCTTATCGATATCAACTGATTTTGTCATATTTATTGTTTTCAAACTGTGGAAGTAGTGCTTAACAATTTAATTCTGCCACTTATCTATACTATTCTCTGAAGCATGATAGTTTAATAAAATAGTTGAAGTTTGACCAGTACATTAAAACAATATCTATTATTTAAGATTAAAGAAGTCATTTGAAAGCAGAAAGAGGAATATGGTTTTAGAATATCTTTTAATTGAAAAAAATAGTTATTCCACGTTTATCAACAAACATTTTGTCAAATAATATGTGAGTTTGTTTATAATTTATTAGCAGTGTCATAGGTGCTATGGCTCTAAAGGCAAGCGCCACATTGATACGAAACTTAACATGCACTTGTCTCTGAATTGTTTAACCTATAAAATAGAAAAAAAAACCCAAAGCATATGGGATATCCATCCATGACACAAAATCAGTACGTGCACAGCAAAAAACACACAAAAGCAAAGGCACAGTGCTTTTATTGCTGTTCTTCGTCTCAAAACCACAGGGAGGCCTTTATCATCATGTTATATAACATAAAAGGGTATATAGGTAAACAAAGATTCAGAAACACGTGCCTGTGTGAATACATTGAAAATATTGCGTTTACATACGGTACAAATGAATGCCGATGATAGATATTGGGATACTGTTTTTAGTAATGGTGCTCCATGAGCTAAATTTGCTTTCAGTTTTCTAATCTCGAGGTAAAACCTGCAAATTTCTAAATATACAGCCACCTGCAGTCGGAATTGTGACGTCTCTGCACGTTAAAGAACCATTAGGAGGCGCATTTAGGGGGACCCTTATGGAGCTACATATATGATTTATAGATTTTTTACAAGTCCCACACCTAAAGTTGCCTTGTTATTGGGCCCTCTTTTAAAAAACCCTGGATCAGCCTCTGCCCTTGCAACAACTTTTGGGGGGTCCGTAAATGGCCGGTTAAAAGGCAAAATTTATGCCCCTTTCTTACCCTCATTTGCCTTGATAGCAGTTCATTTTTTATTAGTTCGAGATTGCTTTCAGGTCTGACGTTCATTTTAAGACTTGCTGGGACCGAAGTCTGACGTTAGAGAAATCTTGAACTAACTTTGCAGAAATGTCTTGTCATATTTGTTAATTTCAATTGAAGTTTTAAGCAAACAACCAAACATTCATTTACTAACGTGATATTCACGTTATGTCATGCAAAGTTATGCTCTTTTTCAGATTTACAGTTCAAAATTCAAGATTTATTGATACTGCCAAGAAACATGAATGTTTTACAAGAGATCAACGTGTAATACATATACAATAAAAACAATTAAAAACAAGTTAAAAGCATCAATTGTTTATAAATGGCAATGATAACGGAGAGTAATATTTACTGCGGACCGTGCGAATCTCAACATTCCACAACCGTAGCACAGCTTTGGTGCCCAAATTGTGATGAAGGTTTGTGCTCAAAATGCATGGAGTATCATAAGGTTTCAAAATCTTCCCGTATGCACAAAACTATAACAATAGAAAATTTTAAGACCCTTCCAGATTTTGTCCGCAACATAGACCATGTGTGTTCGAGTCATGACAATGCCCTTGACCTTTATTGCAGTGTCCATGAACAAGTCTGTTGTATGGATTGCGTAAGCGTTGATCATTCCGAATGCCGAGGTATAACGTCACTGACCAAAGTAGTTCAGGGGGTGAAAGAATCAGCATTTTACCACACCGTTATGAAAAATATCGAAGATCTCACAGAGTTTGCCACTAAACTACAAACTAATCGTAGAGAAAATGTAGCCATGCTGCAACAGGAAAAAGACTTGCTCATCGGAGTAGTAAAATCCAAACGTACAGAAATTACATCTCACTTAGATAAATTAGAAAAACATCTCTTACAAGAGCTAGACTCGACTATAAATTTAGAATCTCAACAAATTGATCAAGCGGTTTCTCATCTGCAGAGGAAAATATGCACTCTGAAAGAATATAAGAACCAAATTTATGCAATCACTGATAATGCTACAGATATTCAAGCGTTTTTAGCTCTAAAAGAAATAGACAGGAATGTTGTTCATGAAGAAGAAACAATGTTATGTGTAACGGAAGCGCCTGGTATGAAGGAGACCAGTGTAAGAGTAGAGTTTGCAAATGAGGTTGTAGGATTCGTACAAGTAAAACTGATGGGAAATATAGAACTTACAAAGATATCAACAAACATGCATTTTCCCGGAACGAAATCTCAGCTTGTAAAAACCTTATCAGATATTCAACCAGGAATAGAAAATATCAAACTAACTTTAGTAACTAAATTTCAGCTTCCCTTTGATATGGATATCAATATTTGTTGTTGTGTAATATTGCCAGACGAACGAGTTGTCATGGCAAACAACTCAAACGAAGAAAAAGGAGGAATGCATATTTTCTATAAAAGTGGGGAGTACCAGAAACATGTTGTATGTACATCGAATCCTTTCGGACTTGCGGTCATCAATAAGTCCGATATTGCTGTATCGTTTTATAAAGAAAAATCAATTAAAGTATATGATTCAGACAATTTTAATGTTAAGTTCGTGTTGTTAGATGGGCACTGCGTCTTCGGAGTATCCGTGGATTCAGATTGTTTGGCTACTGCTGTTCGAAATAAAGGTATTTATTTCATTAACTGTAGTTCTGGAACGATTTTGAAAATTCTCCCTAGTGACATTAATTTGCTAACCTATGTGCATATGATAGGAGAAAACAAACTTATTACTGATTATGAAAAGGACGTTCTTTATTGTCGAAATAGGGATGGAGAGACAATATGGAAATATTCGTCCCATGCCATGAAAGGACCTCGAAACATATGCACAGATACTGTTGGAAACATATTCGTTGCCGCCTTTGTTTCAGATAGCCTAATAGCCATCTCTCCTGATGGGAAAGATAACAAAAAATTACTAGGAGTCGATGACGGCCTGAAAAATCCAAAAGCTGTATGCTTTAGTGCAATGACGTCTACTTTAATAGTCGTTTCTCAAACGGGATCTGTATTGAAATATAATCTATCATATTCTTAAAATATAATTATCATAGACCTGGTTTAGAAAAATGATTAATTTGAATGCGCCTTTTCTGTTGGAAAGTGATAATACCGTTCGATTCTTAGCATCACTGAAGAGACGTTAATTGTCGAAATCCGGATATGGTGTACTAATTTTTTCACCTTTTGTTTGCGGTATACCATCTTTTCCGAAAGTTTATTGTTTTCTGTTTGGTATTAAATAAATAGTTAAGATCCATTTTGTTACATCTGGTGATCCGTTTATTTGGCAATCACCAATGGCAGTCAGCAGGGTTTAAGAACATCCGTTGTTCGACCTGCCAGTCAAATGCGTTTTGTTTAAATATACTTTTTCACTTTGTTGGTCTTTTGGAAAATGTTGTTTGTGCTGTATTTAGATCCCTCTACCAAGAAATTTGTTTTGCATGCACACGTACAAAAATTGCGGTTTTTATCCAACGCAATCATAGGTTTGAACGTTGTCTTCAATTTAGACTTGTTTATATAATTTTTCGTTTGGGCTTGTATTATATTTGCGAAATCCGGATATGATGTACTAATTTTTGTACCTTTTGTTTGCGGTATACCATCTTTTCTGCAAGTTTATTGTTTTCTGTTTGGTATTAAGTTAATAGCTAAGATCCATTTTGTTACATCTTTCGATCCGTATATTTGGCAATCGCCAATGGCAGTCAGCAGGGTTTAAGAACATCCGTTGTTCGACCTGCTAGTCAAATGTGTTCTATTTAAATATACTTTTTCCACTTTTTTGGGCTTTTGGAAAATGTTGTTTGAGCTGTATTTAGACCCCTCTACCAAGAAATATGTTTTGCATGCACACGTATAAAAAATTGCGGTTTTTATCCAACGCAATCATAGGTTTGAACATTGTTTTCAATTTCAACATCGTTTGTTTTGCTTGAATTTAGAAATTGAATTAAGTGCCTGCTAAACTTCAAAGTTCGTTATTTTTTGCTTTCCACTTTTAGACCCCCCCCTCCCCAACACACATACACAAACACATTATCAGTCTAATCCATATAATGAAGCATATATATATATATATAAATGTTTATTATCCTCCTTTAGAAGAGTATGAATATACATGAACATAGACATGATAGATACAAAATATAATACAAAGCTAAAATGTTACTAATGAGAATATTAAAATGAATTAATAAAGAATTGAATAAATTGAATGAATAAATAAATAAATAAATAAATGAATAGTTAACTTAATAAATAATTAAATAGAAGATTAAAGAAGTAGAATAAATAAATGAATGTTCAGAGAATAACTGTCAAATTAACTGTCATATTCCTTACATAATCTATTGATAAACTTTACACATGAGTACGTGAAACTGTCTGCATCTGTTTTTCAAGAGGGAAAAAATTGTCACTGTTACATGATAGCAGAGTTAGTGTCAATTATGTGTCTTCCATATCATGGAGCGTTGCGCTAAACTCAATGTGTCTGATATTAATTAGATCTATCCAAAATAAGTCTCTTGTTGACGACACACTACAGCATTGTATTAAAATTTGTACAATTGCATTGTCACAGAAAAAACCCACACTTATGGCATAACAGTAATTCTGCATCAGGTTCGTTTGGTATAACTAGAGCACACAGAGATGGCTGGCTGGGTAAAAAAAAAGACTTGAAAATACGTCTTTGCTGCTTCTCCGCTAGGCACGCGGCATTTAGGAGTAAGAGCATAGACTGATCAACTCGGAGTCAGAATAATTTGTCCGCGTAGGCTGACGTGTCTACCTGTGGGCTGTTTCCTTGTGAAAAAACACGTTAAGAATCAAGCTTAGTATGTCGGTTTAGTTTACAACAGGGTTTATACTCTGATCATATAATATCATTATATTGCCCGAAAAGTTTAAACTATCATATCAAGGTATAAGTGTAAATATATAATACACATTCATCATTGCTAATCCATTTTCAGTAGAGCCAGGCGGAATACAACGACACGGTTTCGTCAATTGGATGTTAGAATGATGCATCATGGCGGGAAATATTTTTATTGTCACGAATTTACTGAAAATTATTTTTCATTTCATATGAAACGCAAATTTCGAAAAATTTAGCATATATAATTCAAACGTTATTGATTGACATCGTAAATCAACTGTTAACTAACAATCAGATCGATATATTCCTATTCTATAGAACATGCACATGCGCAGTTATTCAGCCCTGTTCAGCGCTGATAGTTGGTCACGTGGATTGTATTATGCCTGGCCCTATCGACGAATTAGATTGGGTCAGGATGCCAGGCTATTTAAACGCTCATATTCGGAAATGGTTACTATCATGCAGACAATTTAAGAATGATAACGATGCATTTGGATTGTCAAACAAGATAAATTTCTTCATGCTTTCGGTTGCTGACCTTGGGCAATATTTCTTTTGTATTTTGCCTTAGTGTCGTATTTTCCCCCCTAACTTTGAATGTAAATCAATATTTTTATTTCCTCTTTTTTTTTGAAACAAAGTATTTTTTCTCCTTTCCAATTTTTTTTTAGAATCAATTCATTTTTTTTAAATGGCCCAACTTACACACACACAATAATTGACGGCAGTTTATAATCAACTTCGTCCTTTTTATGATCGCAATGAAAATGTGCAAATAATATATATATCATGCAGGTGTGTAAATAATATATGTATCATGCAGGAAATTAATTTTTAAAATGTGGTCAAAATTTGATCGAAGCGGAAAAAAGCAACAGCTTAATATGGATTTGGAGTTTAGTGTGACGTCCATTTTCACTGAACTAGTACACAATTTTATTTAGGGGCCAGCTGAGGACCACCTCCGGGTGCGAGATTTTTTATCGCTGCGTTGATGACCCATTGGTGGCCTTCGGCTGATGTCTGCTCTTTGGTCGGGTTGTTGTCTCTTTGACATATTCCCCATTTCCATTCTCAATTTTATTGAAATTGAAATAACTGTTATAATTTACACAACGTTACTGTTTCTAATATAAACATTCAAAAATTGTTATTATATATTTTTTTTTAAATTTATTTCCAACATTTTTTTCAAAGACCACATTGTGACTTCGAGAATGAGTACAACCATGAAAGCGCTTTTCCTTTTCTTTCTTCTGCAGTTATTTTATGTCATAAATTGGTATTGATGTCATCTTGTATGTATTTAAATATGGAGAAAAGGGGATCCGGTTGTATGTCAATGAGACACAAACAACGACAAATTAAAAAACGGACAACATTCATTCTTCAACAATAGTATACGTTACAAAAAAATAAGTTTTGTAAGTAAAAGACCCAAATTCGTGAAATACAAGAATGATATATCGACGAGTACTACAATTAAGTTTATTACTAACTGTATTTGGTCAAAGATACAAAAAGGATCACACACACGCGTAACAGTTTCCCCTTTACATAAAAGCATTATACAAACAGAAAAGTCTTTTAATTAATTAGATATACATATAGATATATATATAGATATAGTCAGTTTGGTTGTGTAGAACTGGAATATCCAAGGCAAACTAATCATATGAGTTTTCTGCATGCCTGAATGATTCAAACGATGATCCATATGAAAAATATCCAGTTAAAAAAATGATTTTTTTTTCATCGCCCGGAACTCTTTTCACAAACAAATCCTATGCATTGAATAAATGGTAGGTTACTCTTAAATGATCACAACGTGGGAGTATTGTTTCTCTTAAGATATTTTGAGAATTAACCCCATCGACTTCAAGTTTTTACAATGAAAATCTAAATGTGTAAATGTATTTTTCGATTATTTAATGATATTAGCTCTGAACATTTATTATTCTCTAAAATAAAACTGTTGTGTGTGCTGATATAAAGAATATTTCAAACAAATTCCTTTAAAGTTTTGTGACAAGAGTTTCATTTTATGTATCGAAATGTGTAACAAGTGTTTGTTTAAATCCCCACTGGAGGGCATCTGACAGACTGAGTGAGCGTAAAATCATTTGTTATCGATAGCCGATGACAAACAAGTTAAAGGTAAAAGAGGGGCAAAAGATACCAAAGGGACATTCAAACTCATAAGTCGAAAATAAACTGACAACACTATGGCTAAACAAGAAAAGACAAAGAGACAAACAATAGTTCACAAAACACAACATAGAAAACTGAAGACTGAGCAACACGAACCCCACCAAACACTGGGGGTGATCTCAGGTGCTTCGGAAGGGTAAGCAGATCCTGCTCCACATGTGACATCCGTCGTGTTACTCGTGTTAGTACAAACCCGGTAATGAGTCTAATTCGGAAGGTCACTTCGGGAAAAGCGGACGGGTTTGTAGTTACGACATTAGGAACATATCCGCTATCATCTGTGAAACGGATATTCCGTAACGGTCAAGCAACTCGTGATGGCGTCCGTAAAATTTACGAAGGGATGATTTCAACTTCACCACTTTAAACTCTTGGTTAAAAATACCTGATAGACCTTGTGGTTGTTATAGGAACATCAATCAATCAGTGAGTGAATCGTTTACATAAAATAAGATATGATGACCAAATATACGTCTGATGATTGTAAATTATGTTTAAGTAGAATTATTTTACTTTTGTGTAGAGGGTTTATAGATAGATTTGTAGAAAAGACGAAATCGTTGATGTCCCCTCTTTCAAAATCTATTGAATCAAACATAAAATCATTATCAACATTCTGATAATTTCAACGCCTAATTTTTCTTTATTGTTTTAGATGCAAAATTCCTAAATATGTTTATTTATCGTTTGGTCGTAAAAATTTCATTTGACTGAATTATGGATAACATATTAAGCAACTGATCCTTATAAAAAGAAACTGACCTCTACAAAAAGCCTTTTGATTAAGGGTAATTGGATACATGTAAAAGATAGCCCTGTTATTGAAAGAAAGTGTATTTTGGAAGTTCATGTTAGCTGTGCGGAGTGGAAAATGTCATTTTTCAATGACTTGTTTTGATTTTTTTATGTTGTCTTGGATGGATTCTCTTCCGTTTCCTGTGAAATGTATTACAATTGTTTTTATCTATTCTGTATTTCTATGCATTATGTGTGACCTAATTTCTAAGTTGTTGGTGTTTTTGATTTCCCCTTTCACTTTGTTGATTTTTGGTATTGTGTTGTCTGTTTATGAATGTGTATAGAGATTTTGTCGAAATCTATTACGTCCATAAACCTCTGCCGTTGATAAATGCAAAGTCAAAAAGGATTTAAAAAGTTATGTCTGCACACTAAATTTTGAAATGTTGGAGACATAGCGCCAAGTATAGATTTATTGTTTTTGCGGTGGGGGTTTATAAACATTCTTATTTTGGGTGCTGTTTACATCTAGCAAGAGAGACTTGCCCCTAAGAAACTTTGATAGTTTTCCCAATTATTTTGCTCTGTTGTCGTTTTTTTTATTTTTTGTTGTTTTCTGTTATATTGTGTGTTTTCTCTTTTGATTTCGGTGTGTTTGTATTCTAATTCTATT